GGACCCACCAAAAACATTCAATACAACTTTTCCATAAAAGCACAAGAATTCATAAATTCATGGTCACTCAAAAGTCAAGACTCCTTTCAAACTCCACAAAAACATCCTCCAGTGAAGGCTTCTCAAGCATTTTACCAAGGTCGAACCAGCAGGGATTCTCAATATTGCCAGGGGGACAGGTTCACAGTTGCTTTATTATTTTTATTTTTCGATTTTCATAAATGTTTCACCTTCTTTTTTTTTTTTGCGGACTGATAGCCTGCGGGCCAGTGACTGATAGCCTGCGGGCCAGTGACTGGTGACTTACGGGCCGGTGACTGATAGCCTGCGGGCCAGTGACTGGTGACTTACGGACCGGTGACTGATAGCCTGCGGGCCAGTGACTGATAGCCTGCGGGCCAGTGACTGATAGCCTGCGGGCCAGTGACTGGTGACTTACGGACCGGTGACTGATGATCTGCGGGCCGGTGACTGATGTCTTGCGGACCCGTGCACTCCCATGCATGGGCCACCATCTTGAGTAGTTTATAAATCTACTTAGTTTCATGTGACTTGAACTGGAGTTTCAAATCAAATAATGTTTGAATATAACAACATGCAATTTACACACAACAATGTTTCAAAAATGTACACACAACAATGTTTCCACAATGTACACACAACAATGTTTCCACAATGTACACACAACAATGTTTCCACAATGTACACACAACAATGTTTCCACAATGTACACACAACAATGTTTAAAGGCCTTTTGTTACACTAGAAAGTCTCAGAAAGCCCTTCCGTGTTCAAGCACTCCACGGAGTGATCATTCCCGGGAATGCAACATGGAAGACGAATGGCTGCTGGAGCTGTCGTCTAAGAGGGGCGTTCCCAAAACAAGCCAGTGGTGTGTCTGTTAAGGAGGCACACGAGTCTTCGTGTCATGCGAGGCTTTGGTCACGTGACTAAATGCGTCACATGGGTCATTATGTCAAATGGTTCTTTCTTAATAAACAAAAACTGCGACCTGAGCAATCTCGGCACTGATGTGACTGTTAACAAATTGGTACAGGTTATCTCGGCACTGATGTGACTGTTAACAAATTGGTAGAGGTTATCTCGGCACTGATGTGACTGTTAACAAATTGTTAGAAGTTATCTCGGCACTGATGTGACTGTTAACAAATTGTTAGAAGTTATCTCGGCACTGATGTGACTGTTAACAAATTGTTAGAAGTTATCTCGGCACTGATGTGACTGTTAACAAATTGTTAGAAGTTATCTCGGCACTGATGTGACTGTTAACACATTATGGTAGAATAGGAATGGTTTAGCAAAAAAAAAGAGAGGTGTGGATCGACAAAGAAGGGAAAAGCTATGAAGGGTTTGTTCGAAGGTGAGTTAACAATGAGTTGAGAACGATAGGGAGAGTTAACAAAGGGGCTTAGAGTTAAGGGGTATTTTATCGAGGGAATGACAAAATGAGGGGTGTGTTATCAAGGGGTTTAAATAATGAGGGGTGTGTTATCAAAGGGTTGACATATGAGGGATGTGTTATCAAAGGGTTGACATATGAGGGATGTGTTATCAACATATGAGGGATGTGTTATCAAAGGGTTGACATATGAGGGATGTGTTATCAAAGGGTTGAATAATGAGCTGTGTGTTATCAAGGGGTTGACATAATGAGGGGTGTATTATCAAAGGGTTAAAATAATGAGGGGTGTGTTATCAAAGGGTTGAATAATGAGCTGTGTGTTATCAAGGGGTTGACATAATGAGGGTTGTGTTATCAAAAGGTTAAAATAATGAGGGGTGTGTTATCAAAGGGTTAAAATAATGAGGGGTGTGTTATCAAAGGGTTGACATAATGAGGAACGTGTTATCAAAGGGTTGAATAATGAGCTGTGTGTTATCAAAGGGTTGACATAATGAGGGGTGTGTTATCAAAGGGTTGACATAATGAGGGGTGTGTTATCAAAGGGTTGACATAATGAGGGGTGTGTTATCAAAGGGTTGACATAATGAGGGGTGTGTTATCAAAGGGTTGACATAATGAGCTGTGTGTTATCAAGGGGTTGACATAATTAGGGGTGTGTTATCAAAGGGTTGAATAATGAGCTGTGTGTTATCAAAGGGTTGACATAATGAGGGGTGTGTTATCAAAGGGTTGACATAATGAGCTGTGTGTTATCAAGGGGTTGACATAATGAGGGGTGTGTTATCAAAGGGTTGACATAATGAAAGCAACAGTCAACAAAGATGGTGATTTAAAAAAGGTGGTCGAGAAAGATGGAGAAATGTTTTTGTTAAGGAATGGGAAATTATTGGAGAGTTAACAAGGGAGTCTAAGAAGGACGAGTGAACAACAAGGGTTTGATAAGGTGATAGCCTGAGATGGAGAGGAGGGAGGGGGTGAACAACAAGGGTTTGATAAGGTGATAGCCTGAGATGGAGAGGAGGGAGGGGGTGAACAACAACGGTTTGATAAGGTGATAGCCTGAGATGGAGAGGAGGGAGGGGGTGAACAACAANGAATTAGATATCAATCTTTCTGGCCTGCTAACAATTCCTGAATTAGATATCAATCTTTCTGGCCTGCTAACAATTCCTGAATTAGATATCAATCTTTCTGGCCTGCTAACAATTCCTGAATTAGATATCAATCTTTCTGGCCTGCTAACAATTCCTGAATTAGATATCAATCTTTCTGGCCTGCTAACAATTCCTGAATTAGATATCAATCTTTCTGGCCTGCTAACAATTCCTGAATTAGATATCAATCTTTCTGGCCTGCTAACAATTCCTGAATTAGATATCAATCTTTCTGGCCTGCTAACAATTCCTGAATTAGATATCAATCTTTCTGGCCTGCTAACAATTCCTGAATTAGATATCAATCTTTCTGGCCTGCTAACAATTCCTGAATTAGATATCAATCTTTCTGGCCTGCTAACAATTCCTGAATTAGATATCAATCTTTCTGGCCTGCTAACAATTCCTGAATTAGATATCAATCTTTCTGGCCTGCTAACAATTCCTGAATTAGATATCAATCTTTCTGGCCTGCTAACAATTCCTGAATTAGATATCAATCTTTCTGGCCTGCTAACAATTCCTGAATTAGATATCAATCTTTCTGGCCTGCTAACAATTCCTGAATTAGATATCAATCTTTCTGGCCTGCTAACAATTCCTGAATTAGATATCAATCTTTCTGGCCTGCTAACAATTCCTGAATTAGATATCAATCTTTCTGGCCTGCTAACAATTCCTGAATTAGATATCAATCTTTCTGGCCTGCTAACAATTCCTGAATTAGATATCAATCTTTCTGGCCTGCTAACAATTCCTGAATTAGATATCAATCTTTCTGGCCTGCTAACAATTCCTGAATTAGATATCAATCTTTCTGGCCTGCTAACAATTCCTGAATTAGATATCAATCTTTCTGGCCTGCTAACAATTCCTGAATTAGATATCAATCTTTCTGGCCTGCTAACAATTCCTGAATTAGATATCAATCTTTCTGGCCTGCTAACAATTCCTGAATTAGATATCAATCTTTCTGGCCTGCTAACAATTCCTGAATTAGATATCAATCTTTCTGGCCTGCTAACAATTCCTGAATTAGATATCAATCTTTCTGGCCTGCTAACAATTCCTGAATTAGATATCAATCTTTCTGGCCTGCTAACAATTCCTGAATTAGATATCAATCTTTCTGGCCTGCTAACAATTCCTGAATTAGATATCAATCTTTCTGGCCTGCTAACAATTCCTGAATTAGATATCAATCTTTCTGGCCTGCTAACAATTCCTGAATTAGATATCAATCTTTCTGGCCTGCTAACAATTCCTGAATTAGATATCAATCTTTCTGGCCTGTGTGTTTTTGTTTGTTTGGTTTAAGTTATATTTTATCAACTGTACATTTGAATAAACACTGAACAAAACAATATTTCAGTCATTTACACATTACATAAAATCAAACATAATATATTATGTTCACAATAAATAAATCAAAGGGCACGTAAATTACAATGAACGCTCCCTATGATGTTAACTTGGTCACGTGAACATGGCCATTTCAAAAATTGTTGTCACACATCATTTATTCAGTATGTTAATATCAATTACATTATTTGAGGTTAATAATTTTTTTGCCTTCAAATTTTGGTATTATAAGCTGATTTTTTTTTTTTAAACGCAGACGCCATAATCCTTTATTTGGTCAGCTTCCATTACTTCCATGTAAGAAAACTGGAAAGCGGAAGCCCACCCAACAAGGGGGCGTTCATTGTAGATGTTTTACCAATTTACCAATAAACAAGGTTTGCAGCGACAATACACAGATGGAGTGAAAACACAAACAATTTACACATTTTAAAGCATATATAGTTAAAGAGATAAAAATCGGGTCAAGAAAGATAGATATTGTGCGAGTAGGATAGAAAAAATATAAATGCTAAAATAGGATTGGTAAAAATGCAACCTCCCATCCGGCCATTCCCGTAAAATGTAGCATTTAATAGTTATCTATGATATTTGAAAAGATACAAGAATTATTACCAGCTAATCTGTGATGGACAACGGAAATAATTCTTTTTGGCGTAAGTAGGTCGGCCTACTTAAAACTACTCGGCGCATGGTTCTGCGCATGTCCTACAATGTCGAAACAACTTTTTCTACAATATATAATCTACAAAATGAGTGGCGAGGAACTTAAGATAGACACATGAAAGAAAAATGTGTTGTTCTGTTTAGCTTTGAAAGTTTCATTATAAGCAAATGCAGCCTACATTTTCAAAAAACAACAACAAAAACATATCTTGTTTTTACTGCAATAGTGAGTGCACGAAATAAATTAAAATGTCTGTGATTTTTTTTTACCAAATAAGAAAAAAAAAAAAAAAAAAAAAAAAAAAAAAAAAAAAAAAAAAAAAAAAAATTGAAAAAAGGAAGAAAAAAAGCAGAAAAGAAAAAAAAGGAGGGGGGGGAGCTGGGGGGGGGGGTGTAAAATCACTTCAAAACAAATTTAGCATTTTTGGTAAACTGCTCTGTAGGTAACACAGTCAATAGAATTCATCGTATAGATTAGCCTACACAAAAAGTATTTTAAAAAATATATGTTAACTTTTTAAAGCTATATAATACTGGGTTGGGAGTGGGGGGGGGGGCGTTTATTTTTGGATCGTTATCTGATCACTCTAGACATTGGATTATATGTCTATGAACTTGAAATTAGATTATAATTATAAGAACATGTTTTGAATCGAACGGACCTGTCCTAAATTCAAAAAATGGATTTTAAGTAAAGTTGTTTATATTAAATTGATCACAAGGCGATGCTTAGTGATACTGCAAGACATCAGTTTTAAGTATTTCACCCCCAATTTCCAAGTTTACAATAAAAAGTAGCAAATGTTACACAGTCAATAGAATTCATCGTATAGATTAGCCTACACAAAAAGTATTTTAAAAAATATATGTTAACTTTTTAAAGCTATATAATACTGGGTTGGGAGTGGGGGGGGGGGCGTGTATCTTTGGATCGTTATCTGATCACTCTAGACATTGGCTTATATGTCTATGAACTTGAAATTAGATTATGATTATAAGAACATGTTTTGAATCGAGCGGACCTGCCCTCAATTCAAAAAATGGATTTTAAGTAAAGTTGTTCATATTAAATTGATCACAAGGCGATGCGTAGTGATACTCCAAGTCATCAGTTTGAAGTATATCACCCCCAATTTCCAAGTTTACAATAAAAAGTAGCAAATGTTCAGCGAAAGGCAAGGCACTGGCGCTGTCCTGATGAAGCTATGCAGAAATATGCAGAATTTAGGGGGGGGGGGCGAAGCGTTTAGCAGGAGCGTGGAAAAAATTGGATTATTTTGTGTGTGTTATTGAAATCGTCTCATCTGCGTTCCTTGTACCTCGTCGTCCTTGTAGCCAGCGTTGGTGTATGCCCGATAGCGAATCTTTTGGTTGAAGAACGTCTTGAAGCTACCCCGACTGCAGTGGTACCTGGAAGAGTTTTGGGGAAGGGAAAGAGAGTCAACGAATTATTTAGGGAGAAATTTGGTGAATAGAAAGAGAGTCAACGAATTATTTCGGAAGAAATTTGGTGGAGAGAAAGAGAGTCAACGAATTATTTAGGAAGAAATTTGGTGGAGAGAAAGAGAGTCAACGAATTATTTAGGAAGAAATTTGGTGGAGAGAAAGAGAGTCAACGAATTATTTAGGAAGAAATTTGGTGGAGAGAAAGAGAGTCAACGAATTATTTAGGAAGAAATTTGGTGGAGAGAAAGAGAGTCAACGAATTATTTAGGAAGAAATTTGGTGGAGAGAAAGAGAGTCAACGAATTATTTAGGAAGAAATTTGGTGGAGAGAAAGAGAGTCAACGAATTATTTAGGAAGAAATTTGGTGGAGAGAAAGAGAGTCAACGAATTATTTAGGAAGAGTTTTGGACCACATTCCCACCAAAACAAGGGTAATATTTATCTCCTGTAGGACCACACTCCCACCAAAACAAGAGCAAGATTTACCTCCTGTAGGACCACATTCCCACCAAAACAAGGGTAATATTTATCTCCTGTAGGACCACACTCCCACCAAAACAAGGGTAATATTTATCTCCTGTAGGACCACACTCCCACCAAAACAAGGGCAATATTTACCTCCTGTAGGACCACACTCCCACCAAAACAAGGGCAATATTTACCTTCTGTAGGACCACACTCCCATCAAAACAAGGGCAATATTTACCTTCTGTAGGACCACACTCCCACCAAAACAAGGGCAATATTTATCTCCTGTAGGACCACACTCCCACCAAAACAAGGGCAATATTTACCTTCTGTAGGACCACACTCCCACCAAAACAAGGGCAATATTTACCTCCTGTAGGACCACACTCCCACCAAAACAAGGGCAATATTTACCTCCTGTAGGACCACACTCCCACCAAAACAAGGGCAATATTTACCTCCTGTAGGACCACACTCCCACCAAAACAAGGGCAATATTTACCTTCTGTAGGACCACACTCCCACCAAAACAAGGGCAATATTTACCTTCTGTAGGACCACACTCCCACCAAAACAAGGGCAATATTTACCTCCTGTAGGACCACACTCCCACCAAAACAAGGGCAATATTTACCTTCTGTAGGACCACACTCCCACCAAAACAAGGGCAATATTTACCTTCTGTAGGACCACATTCCCACCAAAACAAGGGCAATATTTACCTCCTGTAGGACCACATTCCCACCAAAACAAGGGCAATATTTACCTTCTGTAGGACCACACTCCCACCAAAACAAGGGCAATATTTACCTTCTGTAGGACCACACTCCCACCAAAACAAGAGCAATATTTATCTCCTGTAGGACCACACTCCCACCAAAACAAGGGCAATATTTACCTCCTGTAGGACCACACTCCCACCAACACATGGGCAATATTTACATTCTGTAGGACCACACTCCCACCAAAACAAGTGCAATATTTACCTTCTGTAGGACCACACTCCCACCAAAACAAGTGCGACTATACACAAAGGCACGATGATCCCAATGGCCCATTTACTGCCAGTGGTCAGCTCCTCCTCTGTTGATGCAGAATCGACCGGGATCTGTGGGGTTGTCGGTGTGTTGGGGACAGTGGGCGGAGATGTCACAGAAGGCGTGGATGAGGCTGGACCTGATGGTGGAGATGTCACAGAAGGCGTGGATGAGGCTGGACCTGATGGTGGAGATGTCACAGAAGGCGTGGATGAGGCTGGACCTGATGGTGTCATTTCGCTGGCTGATGTAACACCGTCAGTTGTTGTATCACTTTGAGTTGTTGTATCACTGTCAGTTGTTGTATCACTGTAAGTTGTTGTAACACTGCCAGTTGTATCTTTGTTAGTTGTTGTATCACTGTCACTTGATGTATCATTTTCAGTTGTTGTAGCACTGTCAGTTGTTGTATCATATTCAGTTGTTGCATCATTTTCAGTTGTTGTATTATTTTCAGTTGTTGTATCACTGTCAGTTGTTGCATCACTGTCAGTCGTTGTAACACTTTCATTTGTTGTAACACTGTCAGTTGTTGTATCACTTTCATTTGTTGTAACACTGTCAGTGGTAACATTTTCAGTTGTTGTATCACTGTCAGTTGTTGTAACATTTTCAGTTGTTGTAACACTGTCAGTTGTTGTAACACTGTCAGTTGTTGTAACATTTTCAGTTGTTGTATCACTGTCAGTTCTAGTAACATTTTCAGTTGTTGTATCACTTTCAGTTGTTGTAACACTTTCATTTGTTGTAACACTGTCAGTTCTAGTAACATTTTCAGTTGTTGTATCACTGTCAGTTTTTGTAACACTTTCATTTGTTGTAACACTGTCAGTTGTTGTAACATTTTCAGTTGTTGTATCACTGTCAGTTCTAGTAACATTTTCAGTTGTTGTATCACTTTCAGTTGTTGTAACACTTTCATTTGTTGTATCACTGTCAGTTCTAGTAACATTTTCAGTTGTTGTATCACTGTCAGTTTTTGTAACACTTTCATTTGTTGTAACACTGTCAGTCGTTGTATCACTGTCAGTTGTTGTAACACTTTCATTTGTTGTAACACTGTCAGTTGTTGTAACACTGTCAGTTGTTGAAGCACTGTCAGTTGTTGTAACACTTTCATTTGTTGTAACACTGTCAGTTGTTGTAACACTGTCAGTTGTTGTAACACTGACAGTTGTTGCATCACTGTCAGTTGTTGTAACACTGTCAGTTGTCGTATCACTGTCAGTTGTTGTAACACTTTCATTTGTTGTAACACTGCCAGTTGTTGTAGCACTGTCAGTTGTTGTAACACTTTCATTTGTTGTAACACTGTCAGTTGTTGTAACACTGTCAGTTGTTGTAGCACTATCAGTTGTTGTAAAACTTTGTGTTGTTTTATCACTGTTGGATGTTGTAACACTGTTAATTGTTGTAACACTGTCAGTTGTTGCTATACTTTCAAGTGTTGTATCACTTCCCATATCATTGTGAGTTGCATCTTGGTTTGTATTGTTGACTTGTCTTCTGAGCCGCGCCAATAGCGTTGCAGGTTTTATTCTTGATGACAGCAACAGCAGAGTAGGATCTGTAGACGGTAAAGAGGAAATGAATCAGTAGGCAAAGATCTGTAGACGGTAAACAGGTAATGAAGCAGTAGGCAAAGATTTGTAGACAGTAAAAAGGTAATGAAGCAGTAGGCAAAGGTCTGTAGACAGTAAACAGGTAATGAAGCAGTAGGCAAAGATCTGTAGACAGTAAAAACGTAATGAAGCAGTAGGCAAAGATCTGTAGACGGTAAGAGGAAATGAAGCAGTAGGCAAAAATCTGTAGACAGTAAAAAGGTAAAGAAGCAGTAGGCAAAGATCTGTAGACAGTAAAAAGGTAATGAAGCAGTAGGCAAAGATCTGTAGAAGTACACAGGTAATGAAGCAGTAGACAAAGATCTGTAGAGAGATTTTCATCCTACCTCCCCTCCTCTATCCTGCCTCGCTTCCACTATCCTGCCTCCCCTTCCCCTATCCTACCTTCCCTTCCTATCCTGTCTTCCCTTCCTGTCCTGCCTCCCCCTTCCCTATCCTGCCTTCCCCTCCTCTATCCTGCCTTCCCTCCTCTATGCTGCCTCCCCCTCTTATCCTGCCTTCCCTTCCCCTATCCTGCCTTCCCTTCCTCTATCCTGCCTTCCCTTCCTATCCTGCCTTCCCTTCCTATCCTGCCTTCCCTCCCCTTTCCTGCCTCCCCCTCCCCTATCCCGCCTCCCCCTCCTCTATCCTGCCTCCCCTCCTCTATCCTGCCTCCCTTCCCCTCTCATGCCTTCCCTTCCTATCCTGCCTTCCCTCCCCCATCCTGCTTTCCCTTCCTATCCTGCCTTCCCTCCCCT